TCACCGCATGGATCTTTATCTTTAAACAGCAGCTACATAAAATGGATGTATTTGTTCCTGAAGAGTACTTCATACGGCGGAGAATGGAGAAGAGGGTGGCGGCAGCTGCGGCTGCTGCAGCTTCTGGGAAGGAGTCGGACGTGGCAGGGGAGTCCAGCAAGAGAGTGAAGAATGAGAAGAAGTCCTGGGTGCAGACAGTTCAGGAGGGCAATGTGGTGTCTGGTGGTGCTGGCATTGGTGAACATTTTGTGTTTAGTTGCATGTCAGCCTGAGCCCTGATGTTTAATTAGTTCAGCCTGAGTGAGTAAAACTTTGTTTATGAAAAATGTGTTAAATATTTTGAATTTAGCTTAAACTTGGTCTACTTCTGTTCCATTTTTGTCTCCTCATTGCCTGAACTACAGCATAGTTTACTTCCATTCGGATTGGAGAGAAAAAACAAAAAAAATATTAATAATAATAATAACAAGCCTAGGAAGTAGGAACTTAGGGGGATGGATTGGACATGCGCCCAAGCTCTTAGGCTCGGGGGTGAACCAATCATTCGATGGGCTTTGTTTAGAGAGGCCTAGGAAATTGAACATTGAGGAGAGTGATGGGCTGACTTGGGCCAAAAAGTATAGAAGGAAGAAAATATCAAATAGGTCCATCAGCTCACTAAATCTAGACCATATTTGCATGGGCTATTGAGTCGGTATTGGGCCTGACTCTTACCGAAAAACAAGTATTCCAATTGGCTTGGAACATGCCACGCTGCATGCCTGCATTCACATTTTTCATTTTTTTAGGTTTGAACGGTCATAGTGTTTTTTATGCAGTTTTCGTAGACCTTTTTTAGTTAATTTTTGTATTTCTTTAGACTAATTTTTATATATTTTGGGACTATTTTTTTAAAAGATTTTAAAAGTGTCTCTCTATATTAACCTATACATTAAAAAAAATTAATTTTCTTATACAATATTTTCAAAATTTAAACTTTGCACCTATCCTACAAAACAATAATTCATGGTTTTTAATTTCGCATCCCCTTTTTACCATTTTAGATCCCCACCTTAATAGATGTGCATACGGAAAAACCATAAAAAGGGAGTATTTCAAAAAATAATAATAATAACAGAAGTAATATTTTACCATAAAAGAGTAAATCAATAATGACAATACTATAGTTATAATAATTAAAATATTACATAAAATTGTAAACTTATAATCATGAATATGATGTGGTATTAAATAAATAGATACATATAATATTACAAGTGAATTTCTAAATAAAATGAGTTAATTATAAAATGATATCATATTATAAACTTATTAGAATATTATGTGATATTATAATTATAATATTTTGAATAAATAAATAATTAAAATGATAGAAATAAAACTCAATCAACAATCCGCAAAGAATCAAGAGATAGAGATGAGAAAAGAATCGAGAAGAGAGGTGAGCCGAGAAACAGAGTTTTAGAAGGGATGAGAAGAGAAGAGAAAAACTGAAGTAAGGAAAACTGTATTCACTTTCGATAACCAATTCTGTTACAAGAATGAGCTTTATAGCTGCTCTTTGTACATACATCATATCTCATGCATCATCATCTACGTACATTATCAACAATCGTCCTCCTAAGCACACTCCCTTGCCATGTTAGCTGTCTTATTTCCAGTCCTGTAACAGATTTTTCGTCAGATGTAAATTGCCATTGTTATTAATGGATTTTAGGTTTAGGAGTTAGGACCACTCACTAATGCCAGGAAAATCTAAATAATTAGAAGTACAAGTTGATAAATGGTAGTGCAAGCCATAATGTCAAGAAAATGACATTTTTTATAAACAAACAAACACTGACTGTTTGATGAATGACTGCTGCATACGTCGCTCGTGGCACCACAAAGGGCTTGAGGCGTCGATGATGTATGGGGTAAGCGGGAAGAAGAATGAAGAAGAGAGAAAAAAAATTTTAATGGGCATTGACCCATTTAATTACCATAAAACTTCTAGCCCAAATTGGGCTGGACGGATGTTTAAGTCCCTTATGGCCTATACGGGCCAAGAAACAGCATTTTTTAACTAGACTCAAACTCCCTCCTCTTAATCGGAATCCAATCTCTTCCTACTCTTGGGCTGGACGGATGTTTAAGTCCCTTATGGCCTATACGGGCCAAGAAACAGCATTTTTTAACTAGACTCAAACTCCCTCTTAATCGGAATCCAATCTCTTCTTACTCATTACTAAGAGGCTAATTAATATCAATGAAACAATAATAACATATGGATTTGAATAGAAAAAATTTAATTTTTTAAAATAAAATTTTAAATTTAAATCTTATAAATAAAAAATAAAATATTAAGAGAACTAATTAATCGAAACTTACTATAACTTCTAGATTTTATTTTATTTTATTTTTTAAAAAAGAAGGTGACATGTGAATTAGGTTATCAAAAATCCAGGACCCGCACCAATTCCAGACAGATTTCTTTTCATCACGTGAGATCTGTAGACATTTACGTGTCTTGGAACGTGATCTTCTCCTTTGTTCTCTTATAACTTCTGCTTATATAGCTAATTAATTAATAAGCACCTTTTTTTTTTCCATGTTTTTTCCGGGTCTAAACTCTAAACATCCTTTAGCATCATGCCTGCCTCTCCATTTTCCAATAGAATGGAGAGGCCTTTGATGGAATGGAAGAAAAAGGGGGCAAAAAAGCAATCATATTCATATATATTCATATGGGTTCTCTTTAATAACCTCCGGGACCTCTTTAATAACCTCTGGGACCTCTTTTCTTTTTCGTTGTTTCTTCACGTGAACACATTCTGTTGTCTCTCACTCATTCTCGTGTGTGCTCTGATGCTCCCATCATCACTTCACTACCATTCTTTCTCTCTATTCATATTCATAATTAATTGTACTACTTACCATGGTGAGCTTTTTCCAAAATCCCATTTTAGTTCCAAATTAAAAATAGAGTTAACCTCCAACTATTACACATATGATCTTGAGCTCTTCTTTTTGTTAAAAACAAAGTTCAAAGGGGGAAAAGATCAGAGAAAATTCAACAATCACATGATCATAAAAGGAAAGGACCTCACTTTGGCAATTCATGTGCCTAACAGTACAACCCATTGCTTGGTTTGGAAGCTTCATGTATCCTTTCACTTTATATCCAAAATAAAACATTCTCTTCTGACATATATATTACTTTTGTTTCTCATATTTGACTCTTGACTGATATAAGTTGTTCATGGAGTACTAATTAGTTGAACTCGGTGAAACCCAAAAAGTTGTATGTTAATCATTCCTACAAACTAATTAATAACTTTCTCATGAGATAACCTTTAATGATGGATTAATTGTTATGATCTCAAAAAGTAGTCCATGCATCCTTAATTAATTTGCAATTTCATATGTATGTAAATTAAATAGAAGTACTTGTTAATTATTTGAGCCGACACTTAAAAAAAAAAAAAACTTAATTAATATTTGATTTATGGCAGGGAAATTAACTCATGATGATTGATGATCAAGAGGAATATTGTTTTAGGGTCGCTTTCAAAAGCTAAGTTGGAAAAGGTTAAAGGAGGCCATATATACATCAAATTTAGTCAAGAATTCTTCATCATCACCAACCTTAAAGCATCAAACCCCTTTAATATGGTTCTTTAGCTACCTTTTTACTTCTTGCCCCAGATGGGCCTGATCTGTGATCAATTCTTCTTTTTCTTTACCTTAATGCCATGAATTTGTATCTTCTTTGACAAGAATAATAAAGGAAATTAATACTAGCTAGTTTTTACAGCTCTCAACATCTCATTGATCAAGCACAAAATTAAAATTGGACTCCATTGAAAACCGGGTATAAATTCATTTTTATTTTATTTTATGTGATAGACAGATATCTATAATTTATAATGGTGTGATAATTATAAGGGATTGATGAAATATGGTTGGAGCTAGAATGTAAATTAATGCTGCTGGCACACCAACACGGATGTGAATGTACAGTGAAATAAATAACATGGACCAAATTCATTATCCAAATACTAATTTGTACATTGCTATCCATTATAACAGGAAGGAGATTGGTGCTAGGGCCGGTAAATGGACCTTCTTACTGTTAATTTAGTGGGGTCTCGACTGTGACCTATCCAATTGTACCAATGGAATCCCTAAAGGACACATGATTCTGTTTCAGAAATAATCACGGAACTTTCGAGTTCTTTGAGGGTCCTCGCTAGCTGGCATGTGTCTCGGCTCTCCTTAGGCTGGACCCAAATGCAAGATAAGAGTAAGTTATGGGCAAAACCATAAGTTAAGTCCCTGAACTAACTCCAGAATCGCTATTAAGCCCCTAGACTTTAATTGATGCAGTTAAGCCCTTGAACTCTGGGATCAAAGCAATTAAGCCCTTCTTCTTACGC